CTGGTGCCAGGAGGGACATCCCTGTCTCGAGGGGCATCAGGGACAGCAGCAAGGGAGGGGACTGTCCTGCTCTGCACTGCGGGGGCTCACCTCCAGCCCTGGGACTGGGCACCTCAATATACAAAACAACTAAAGCTCTTGGGGAGCATGCAAAGGAGGGACGTGGGATGGAAGGGTCTGGTGGGGCCACACAAGGAGAGGCTGAGGGCACTTGGAGTGTCCAGCTGGAGGAGACCAAGCTCAAACCTCCCCAGGGGCTGCAGCTTCATCCTGAGGGGCAGCTCCAATCTCTGCTCCCTGTGAGCAGGGACAGGACCCAGGGAACGGCTGGAGCTGTGCCAGGGAGGGTCAGGCTGGAAAGCAGGAAAGGTTCTACCCCAGAGGGTGCTGGGCACTGCCCAGGCTCCCCAGGGAATGGGCACAGCCCTGAGGCCGCCAGAGCTCCCCTCCCAGGGATGCCAGGCTGGGATTGCTGGGGTGTCTGTGCAGGGCCAGGAGCTGGATCTGTGATCCCTGAGCTCCTTTCCAGCTCAGGAGAGTCTGTGGAAAGCTGTGCCAGAGAAGCTTTTCCCTCTGCCCAGCCAGGGAAGAGCTCTGAGCTCTGCCTGCCCCCAGTGCCTCCCTGCCCTTTGCCATTTCACCAGAAGGTTTTTTTCTCATGCCTTCCAGCTTCCTCTCCTGCCCAGATGACCCCAGTGTCCTCAGGCACCCCAGGCTGACTCCGGGGGAAGGAATGGGGCGTGTGGGTACCCTGACCCCGGGGACTGCACCCCCAGAGCGCTCCCAGCTAACAGGTGGACACAGCAAAGAGACACTGAGCACGACAACGAGGAGCAACCCCAGCCCAGCAGGCGCTGAGCTGCCAGCTCAGGCTGAGGAGCTGCACTTCCTCCTGACATCACCTCACCCTCGCTGTGGTGACAGCCCCGGTCACGGCTCGGTGCCACGTGGGGTTTGCTTTAAAGGCGCCCCTGACAGAAATGACAATTTTGGTCAGGCTTCAGGCCCTGCAGACGTTTATTACTGTCACTCTCGAGGTGCCTCTGCTCCATCTGGGACTAACAGGCACTAAGAAACACAAAGATGGAACTTCCCACTTCCACACCTCATCCAACAGCAATATGTGTGGCACTCAAATTCCACCTAAATCCGAGCCTTTTTTGTCTGATATTTTCAAGTTTGGCTGCAAAAGCTTCATTTCCTGAGATAACTGATATTTATTTGCCCAAGTTTCCCTCCAAACCAGAGTTAAGGTGCAGGTAAAAATAGTCCAGGCAGTGATAATAAGGTCAATATTGGTTACTGCAGTGCTGGCGGCCAGGGAGGATCAAAACAAGGAGCAGGGAAGTCCACCAGGAGTGAGGGAAGGATGGTGGGAGGAACAGGAGCAGAGAGGGAAAAAGAAAAGCTCAAGTAGAGAAACACAGCAGCAGCCAGGAAAGACAACACACTCCTGCTTCCAATAATATTGAATCAAAGGAGACACTTAAGAGCCTTTGTTGCTACTCCTGGTCACACAGAGGCCACATTCCTTCCCCGAGCCTTCCATAAAGCCCCGACATCTGTGGATTTTCTGTGAAAAGGAGGTAAAACCACTGCAGCCCATAAATGTAACTGGGAGCAGGGCTGTGTTCCCTATAAACAGGGCCAGGGGTGAGGGACTGCTGCTCCCGGCCGAGGCTCCGTGTCTGACAGCCCGGCCCGAGCACTGCTGTCACTCATTAACTCACTCTATTAACTCCTCAATTAGTTCTTCAGGAATTCTGCATCCAGCAAAACAAGACCTCCCACAAACCTTTCTCCCTGTAAAGTTCTCTGAAGTTCTGTCAGCCTGGCTCAGGCTCCCCAGGGAACGGGCACAGCCCCGAGGCTGCCAGAGCTCCAGGAGCGCTCGGACAACACTCCCAGGGATGCACAGGGTGGGATTTGGGGGGTCCCAGGCAGGGCCAGGAGCTGGACTGGATGATCCCTATGGGTCCCTTCCAATCCAGGATATTCCTTGATCCCATGACTGAAGTACCCAGCTCCTCCTTTGCTCTCAGCTCACTGACCTCACCCCTTTCTCCCGCACCATTTGCACCCAAATTTCCCAGTTATTCTTGTTCTACTCCTGTTCCAAACCCAAGACTTACTCCAACAAGAGACTCTCCTATTTCCTGGCATTCCAGTTTGCCCATTTTTGTGGCTGAGCTGCAGCTCCTGCCCTTCAGGCACTCTGACTCGCAGCCCCTGTTAAACCATGCTGCTGGATGACATCCACGGATCATGATCCCGAGCACAGGAGCCGCAGCTGCCCCACCTGCACACCCGCTGTCAGCAGGGACAGAGGAAAGCTCATCCCTCTGCTGCCAGCCCCCAGCTCTCCCCACTCTCTGCTGAGCAGGGACAGCACAGGGAACGGCTGGAGCTGTGCCAGGGCAGGGATAGGATGGGCATCAGGAAAGGCTCTTGTCCAAGGGTGCTGGGCACTGCCAGGCTCCCCAGGGAATGGGCACAGCCCCAGAGCTCCAGGAGCGTTTGGACAGCAGGGATGCCCAGGCTGGGATTGCTGGGGTGTCTGTGCAGGGCCAGGAGCTGAATCTGTGATCCCTGTGGGCCCTTCCCACTCAGGAGATTCCATGGTTCTGTGATGCTGGAATTCCTCTATACCACTGCTGGGCTCAGGGAAGAAAAGTTTTGGGTCCCCTTTGCCACCAGAAAACTCAGGGCAGACCTCAAATGAAGCATTCCCTGCAGAGAGCATGGAAAAGCACCACAGGAAAACACCGGGATATCTCTGTACCAAAGAGAGGAAGCCCTAACAAACCAACACCCCCTTCTCGCTCAGGATCTCACTGTGGGGGACAGCAGCGATGGGATTCCCTCCAGCTGTCTCCCAGTCCACCCAGGAAGCTGTGATCAGGACTGGGGGATCCCACTCTGGAACACAGCTGGGCCCCCCAGCCCCCAGGGAAGCTCTGCCAGCAGCGGCCTGGAACATCCCAAAAATCCTGTAAGCCCACAGAGCACTCTTCTCCTGGTAACAAACCCCCGAGCAGCAGCTCTCACACAGTGCTGCCTCGTCGTTATTATTTTTGACAGTTTCCAATTTGTGAAGTCAGAAATCCACCCTGTCCCTCCCACAGCACACGCAGAGCTCCTGGAACACCAGGCTGAGCAGGAGATGCTCCACAGCTCCTGCATCCCACAACAAACCTTCCCCCAGCGTGAGTTCTGCAGGAACCTTTCCTGCACCACCTGCCTGACAGGCACCTGCTGCTGCCCCACCAATCCGTCCCACTGCCAGCCAGGACCTCGTCCCACAGCCCTGGATTTCAGCGTTAATCCAAAGGAAGCACAGAAAGCACCAGGAATACCAGTGTACACAGAGAACAAGCCTTGGTTTCAGACCAGTTTGTTCCTACCCAGCCCTCATCACCTTCTGCCGAGCAAATGTCACCCAGGCCAGCCCAGGCCACGATGTGCTCCCACGGACAGCCCAAAATTTAACTTTGCTTCCCATGAGATCACCATTGGTTGCCATGGAAATCCCTATACTACCATCCACCAAGGGTTTTTTTTACCACTGAAGTATTTTGGCAGCATGTTCGCTTTTAAGTGTCAGAGTAATAAGAGAAAACATAAATGTTTCTTCTCTCATCAGGCTTCAGACAGAGCTTTATAACCCAAATCTGCTCCTAAGAGCTTGGTTCAAACCTGTGGGGCTGGGCAGGGCTGGAATCACCACCTTCTCCTTTCTGAGACAGGAGAATAAACAATGAAAACAACCTTTAAGTTTTTAAAACATTAATTTCCAACTGGGGGATCAAGCGAGGAAAAACCTCTCAGGCCCCTCCGAGTTCTCTCAGTTTCTCTTTTTCACTTCCTAGTTTGGTTTTTTTTGGTTTTTTTTAAGCTGGTGCTAAACAAGGCCCTCAAATTCAGCAGGGCCCTCCCAGCCTCTGCCAGGAGCCGCTTTCCTGTCAGATCAATCTCGTGGTGATTCCAGCGGGGCCTCCACTGCTACCCCGGCTTCTGCCCGTCAATAAAACCAGCACGGTGACACTTACAGCCAAACTCTGCACCCTGAGGAGGGCAGGTCCCCAGCAGGGTGGCACGCGTGGGAGGCTGGTCCCTCTCCTGTGACCCCGGGAGGGACCTGACCCCGGGAAGGGTGTCCTGACCCCGGGAAGGGACCAGACCCTCAGGAGAGGGACCCTGACCAGTGATCCCCCTCCTGTGACCCCCAGGAACAGGACCAGAATGCCGGAGCACGGGCCAGACTCTCGGGAAGGTGACCAGACTCCCAGGAACGGGGAGCAGACCCCCGGGAAGGGGATCTGACAGCCGAGAGGGACCTGGCCCATAGGAGGGGAACCAGCCCCAGGAAGGGGGACCCTCAGAAGGGTGATCTGACCCCGGGAGGGACCTGACCTCCGGGACTGACCTGACCCCCAGGAGGGGCACAAGAACCTCGAGAGGGGGACCTGACCCTCGGGAAAGGGAGCAGACTCCCAGGGGGGAGATGCGATCCTCGGGCAGGGGGCCCCCGGAAGGTGAGCAGACCCTCGGGGTGCGCGCTGAGCCCCAAGAAGGGGACCTGAGTGCCAGCAAGGGTGACCTGACCCCTGACCTTGCCACCGCCACCGCTCCCGACAGCTCCGGCCACTCCCGGCCGGCCAGGTGCGACCCAGCACCACCGGGAGCCCGCAGCGCAGCCCCCAGCCCCGCCAGCCCGCCCCGCTCGCACCAAAACACGGCAAAAGGAAACTGTCACGCGCAGAGCAGGCGGCTTTAACCCAGATCCGCACGGAACGGGGCGGCGGGACCACGGCCCAGCCCCGGACAGCGGCCAGCCGGGGGAGGTTTTTAACCCCCCAAACGGTGCCGCACCCCCGGAGCGCGGGGGGCAGCTCCGGGAGGCCGGAGCGGAGCCGGGGGGGCGGCGGGGCCCAGTCCGCGGTTCCGGGCCCAGCCCCGACCCTGGCCCCGCGAGGGCGGCGGTGACAGCCGGGTCTCACCTGCGGGTGCCGGGCTGCCCTCGGGCGCTGCCGGGCCGGGCTGCGGCCCGCCGCAGGGCGGCTGGAGCGGGCACAGCCCCGCTCGGCCCGCGGGGCCCCGGCCGGGCCCTACCTGGTGATGCGTCTCCTGCTCCACGTTGAGCCCGTTCACCTCCACGACGCGGTCCCCGGCGCGCAGCCCCGCCGCCTCGGCGGGCGAGCCGGGCTCCACTTTGCGGATGAACTGGCCGCTCTTGCCCTTCTCGCCGTGCAGGTGGAAGCCGTAGCCGCTCTCCCCCTTGAGCATTCGGCACAGCCGCGGCTTCAGCTGGTCCTTGGCCATGGCCGGCGGCGGAGCGGCGGCGGCGGCGGCTCCAAAATGGCGGCGGCGCCGCGGCTCCCTCAGGGCGGGGGAGAGGGGCGTGGCCGAGGGGAGAGGGCGGGGTCTTGCTGGGCGGGGTCGGTGATGGGCGGTGCCGTCGGAGGGGGCGTGGCTGGGGCGGGACCGCGGAGACACGGGGACGACGGGGACACGGAGACAGGGATGGGAACAAGGACGGGGACAGGGATGGGACGGGGACACGGGGACCGGGATGGGGACAGAGATGGGGACGGGCATGGGGACGGGGACACGGGGACTGGGATGGGGACAGGGATGGGCACGGGGGGATAGGGACGGGAACACGGGGACAGGGATGGGGACACGGAGACAGGGATGGGACGGGGACAGGGACACGGGACGGCAACACGGGGACGGGAACGGGAATGAGCACGTGGAGATGGGGACACGGACATAAGGACATGGGGTCGGGGGCAGGGATGGGCACGGGGACGGGGACAGGGGGACACGGACACCACAGGGCGGAGATGAGGACGGTGGGACGGGGATCGCGACTCGGGACGGGACAGGGGGACAGGGACGGGAATGAGGTTGGGGATGGCGGGGCAGAATGCTGGGGGGAATGGGGACGGGGACAGGGGGACGAGGATGGGGACAGACGGACGGGAATGGGGATGGGGGACAGGAGCGGGGATGGGACAGAGGAACGGGGGCACGGGGAGACAGGGACGGGAGTGAGGATAAGGGGACAGAGACTCGGGGGCGGAGATGGAGACACGGGGCGGGACTGGGAGATGGTGGGACGGGGATGGGACGGGGACAGAGACACGGGGACACGAGGATGGCGATGGGGACACGGGGACAGGGATAGTGGGGTGAGGGCGGGGACAGAAGAACCGTGGGGCGGCCCCAGCCCCGGGGACAGCGGCGAGGGGACAGCGACAGCCCTCGGGACCGCGGGGTGGGCGAGCTGCAGCCCCGGGGGTGGTCACGGCCTCGGGGGGAGCAGGAGGAGCACGAGGACGGGACCCCGCGGCTGGGGGGACACGGGGACAGCGGGAGCCCTGCGTGGCCACGGCCTTCAGGTGGCCCCGGTGTTACTGCCAGTGGGGGACCCCGAGATGGGGGGACCCCGAGATGGGGGTCAGGGGTGGGGACAGGGCCCACTGTGTCCAGGGATGTGGGGGTGAGCACGAGAAGGGAAGGGAAAGGGAGGCAGAGGGAGCAGGGAGCCAGGGCTGGGAGCAGGGATCTCTGAGTCATGCTGGCAGCCTGGGCTCCTGGATCCGCTGTCGCCGTGCCCGGATTTGTCTTTGTCTCGTGGATAAACTGCTTTCCAAGTGCCAGCATCCTCCAGGAACCAGCAGGAAGCGGTCCAATCCCTCATTCCACAGTGAATTCCTGCCATGAGATTTACCACTAAGCTGCTCCGCGCTGCTCTCGCCGAGGCCTTGACCCTGCAAAGATTCCTGCACGTGGTTAAAGTTTACAGGGGAAACGTGGCCTTTGCCATGGGAAAAGAGGGACGGTTCTGTGCTGCCCTGCTCGCAGGGGGCACGGGCCCACGGCATCCTGCAGTGCTCTCAGGGTGGGAGGGGGCTCAAGGCTCACCCCGTGTCACCCCTGCCACACGCCGGGGTCTGGCCACGGGACTGCTGCCACAGAAATGCCACTGTAGTGTCCCCCACGAGAGAGGGTAAAATTCCTCATTTATGGACGTTTTTCCAGTGTGCGGGCTGCAAGGGAAGGACTCCTAGAATGTATACAGCACCCAGTGTGGTAATTAGCACGTTGGTGGCCATTAATGCGGGAAAAAATAGCACAACCTCAGGAGTTTCACTTCCCTGTTTCATCTGTTGGAGGGAAATGGGCTTATAAAGCATTTTTTGTGGCTTATTGTGGCTTCTGGGGACAGGACGAAACCATCCAAGCAAATTCCCAAACCTTCCAGCCACCCCCAGAGCCTATTCCCACCCCCAGCAGGGCCAGGCTTGTACAGCCTGACTCCTCTGGCTGATTTCTAGAGCTCCAACCTTGGAACAGCTTCCTTCGTCTCCGCTCCAGCCCTCTGGAACACGCTAAGATACAGCTGAACTCTGGGCTTGGCAGCAGCAGGGCCGGGAGCTGCCAGCTCCCCTCTCCCAGCAGGGACAGGGACAGGGACAGACAGCCCAGGCCACGGTTCCGAGCCCTGGCTGTGCCACAGGGCACTGGATCCCACTGGGAACAGCTGCTGGAATCTCCTGCAGCACCGACACGAGGGGCTGAGCCCAGGTGTGGCAGAGCCAGGCTGGAGGGGCTGGGAGCAGCCTGGACTCACGGGAGGTGTCCCTGTCCCTGGCAGGGCTGGCACTGGGTGGCATTCGGGACCCCTTCGATCCAAACCAGGATTGCCTGGTTCTCTGTGTGAGGGCAGCCCCCCAGCACAAGGAGCTGCAGAGCTCCCAGCTCTGGAGCAGGGAGGGGAGCTGAGCCTGAGCAGGATTCCCAGCGGGAGCGGGAGCGGGCACACGTTGGGTGGGAGGCTGCAGGCCCAGAATAGGCTGTGGATGATGAAGAATTCTGGGATCTATTCTTGGCTCAGGATTGAGGCGTGATCTGGTGCCTCCAGCAGGCATCAGAACAGGATCTCCCAGCGCCAGTTTGACATTCATCCGAGCGGCCCTGCAGGGAGGAGGGGACGAGCTTTCCTCCCTTCTCCCGCAGCCACAGACTCTGCCGAGCACCCAGCGCCGCTCCGGGAGCTTTTCCAAACCCCAGCGTTCCTCTCTGGCTGCCTTTGGGGCCGAGGACCAGGCCTGGCTCAAATCGCACAGCTCCCAAGAGCCGAGCACAGACAGCCCGAGGAGCGGCTCGCACTCCCTGGCCCGCGGCACCCCGCACGCTCGGGGCCGCAGGGAATGTTCCTGGGCGCTCCGGGAACATCACCCCGCCGGGCAGTGCGGGAGCGCGGGCAGCGGCTCCGCGGGGCCCGGCGCTCGGTTAATTATAGCCGGCAGGGCCGGGCACTGTTGTGTTTGCCGGGTTGCCGGGGAGATGAGCGGCGGCCCCGGCAGCTCCGCGCTCGGCAGCAGCGCTGCGCTCCAGCCGACCTTCCCAAATATGGTCCAGCAGCAGCCTGGAGCGCCCAGCCCAGCCCGGGCTCTGCCATCGGCCAGCCGGACCCTCTGCACCGCCCCTGAGAGCGCCCGGCTCAGCCCGCCGGGGACATCCCGCCCTGCGGCTTGCCCTGCCCGCAGCAGCAGCGGCAGCCTGGGCAGAGCCCAGCCCAGCAGGGCTCCAGCCCGGAGGGCACCGACAGCAGCCGGCAAAGGAGTCCTGAGGTCCCGGGGGTTTCATCAACAGGACACCAAAACTGCCCTGGAACAGCTCCTCAGGTCATGGAAACCTCCTGTGGAGCCAGGCTGGGAGAGCTGGGAATGCTCAAGGCTCCAGGGAGAGCTCAGAGCCCCTGGCAGGGCCCAGAGGGGCTCCAGGAGAGCTGCAGAGGGACTGGGGACAAGGGACAGGAGCCAGGGAATGGCTGCCAGTGCCAGAGGGCAGCCATGGATCGCATCTTGGCCATGAGGAATTGCTGGCTGGGCTGGAATTGCCAGAGCAGCTGGGGCTGCCCCTGCATCCCTGCAGTGCCCAGGGCCAGGCTGGACACTGGGGCTGGAGCAGCCTGGCACAGTGGAGGTGTCCCTGCCATGGCAGGGTGGCACTGCAGGGGCTTTGGGGTCCCTTCCCACACAAACCATTCCAGGATTCCCTGGTTCTGATCCCAACATTTGCCTGTCCTGCTCTGGGAAATTCCCTGTGAAGGAATGGGACGCTGGCTGTGACTTTCTGCCCGTGACAGTTCCCTGCTCAGGCTCAGGCTCTGCTGCCATTCTAACAGAAACCCTCCAGCCCTCACTTGTACACTTCTCAGATGTTCTAAGCATTTTATTGGCCTTTTTATTCACTGTTAATTTTGTTCTGCTCAGCCAGATGGGAATGTTCATGTGGCTGCAGTGCAATCAGCTGTGGGAGACCCCTGGGACAAGATTAAAACTGATTTTTACTGCGGGACAAAGAGTCACTGAGGGAAAAATGTCCAATATTTTTATTAATATTCTCCTTATCTTTTCCTCCTGTCCCTTGTGTGGCAAGAAGCAGCTCCAAGTGTGACAAGTGTAAATGTAGTGTTGCAGGCTCTTTTACAGGGCTGCAATAAATCATAATCAGCATTAATTAGCAGTTCATGGCACAGGGCAGTGTTTAAGGGCAGCTCCTCTGCCCCCTGACCAGGGGAGTTCAACAGGGGCAGGGCAAGGACATCAAAGGGCTGAAGCTGAACAAACAGCACGGGGGGGCAAAGAGGTGCCAAAAATAAATAACCAAACCCACGGGGGCAATGCTGCCGTGGGAGCTGGGCAGCCTGGCCATGGGATTCCTGTGGAAAACAGCTCCTGCAGGATCTGCTGTGTCACTGCACCCTCGGGGTCATGGGACACCTCTGGAGTCATGGAGAGCTTTAGCTGGAAGGCACCTCAAAGCCCACGGGCGCTCCAAGCCCTGTCCAGCCCGGCCTTGGGCACTGCCAGCGTGGAATTGCTCCTTCTCACACTTTCTTTACACTGGTCCTGCTCCTGCTGTGCTCCGGGCCTGACCCTGGCTATAAACAACCCCCGAAGTGCCTGGGTGCTGCTCGGCAAACCACGGGTCTGCGGTTCATCCCGGTATTTCCCACTTCCCACACGTCCCCGAGCGGCAGCAGCCCGTGCACTGCCCTCACGTGCCCGGAGTCCCACAGAAACCACCGCAAATAACAATCCACCCTTGGCCCTGCCTGGGACACCCCGGGCAGCTCCTGGCCCCGCGTGCATCCTCATCCCGGGGAAACTCCTCCTGGGGGAATCGGTGCCATTTCCTCACCTTTGTGAACGTAATGAGGCGTCGGGTAACTTCTACAACAGGAGCCACTTAATGAAAGAACTCTTTTTCCAGCGAAAGTCAGCTCTCCGCTGGGCCAGGTTAGGTCACACAAATAACTGCGGGTTAGGCAGCGGCAGAGTGTGAGTTACACCGGGGCGGGTCTGTGGGACTCCTCCTGTAGAAGAGACGGCATTTTTTTACCCCTCCGTGAGCTCGCTCTGTGGAAATCTCACGCCCGGCACGGAATAAACGGCGGCGTTTCTAAACGGTGTTGGGAGAGCTCCCAAAACCGGGCCCGAGGGGCTGCGAACGGGGGCTCGGGGGGAGCTCAGACCGGGCACAGGCGGGGCCGGGGAGGCTCCGGCCGGCACAGGCGGAGAGGTGAAGTCGCCGTGGGTTTAATTCATCCAAACCCCACGGAGCCCTCACGCCGCCGCCACGACACCGCCACAGCGCCGCTCTGCGCGCCCGCTCCCGTCTCGATGGTGCGGGCGGCGCGCTGGGGACCTCCCGGCCGCCAGGGGGCGCGTCGGGGCGGGGCGGGGGCGCGTCGGGCGGGTCCTCCCCGCCGGCAGGGGGC